ACAAAATTTTGCAAAGAAGAAACAGAATGCCACCTTTGGTAAAGAGACAAAATACAACAATACTGTAAAAACATGTAATGTTAAATTAGATTATAGAGAGAATAATTTTGAAACTTGATAACTAGTTATTACGTGAGAGAATTACATAAAATACATATAAAAGGAAACATTTTTAACAAAAATGTAACAAAACATAAAACGGAGTTGAAATTTCACAATGTTGTCGGCTTGCCGCTGACCAGCGCCATGAACAATAGTGATGGCTTACGGTTAGTTTCATTTGGGATTCAAACCAGCAACCTTCAGCTTACCAGCTCTGAGCTTTAACCACTACACCACATCGCCCAGCCTCAGGCCTGCAGCAAACTGAGTGATTGTGTGTGACTGCTGCATTATGGCTCCTACAGAGGAACACAGTATAAAATTGCTCTCTGTGACAAGAGTGATGTGACATACTGTTTGAAGTGATCGGTTTCAGCCTTAAGGAACTTTTAGAAAAGACAGAAACAAGCACTTTTGCTTCTACTGAGTCACACATACACACACTGGGAGAGTGGGAGAGAGTGAGAGAGAGAAACAGCGCACTGGGAAATATATGCTAATGTAACGGAGCGCAGTCATTTGAAAGGAAATGGGCCTGAATGAGCACCCCGAGGGAACCACAGCACAAAGTTCAGCCCTGAAAAATGTATTTCATTTCATTTAAATAGTCCGCTCTTATGAATACAGCGGGGCTTCGGGGAGAGCTGGGAGCCGCAAGAGGGCTGAGGTGGGAGTTTATTTTGGGGGGAAATATCAAAACAAGATGTGGAACCTAAGAAAAGTCCAAACAAATGATTTTATAAGTAAGGAAAACTTTGTCCGACTTGCTCTGATGTCTCATTTGTAGGTGTTTTACAGGTCTAAGTTCTAGAAAATATGCTTTGATGTGGCTTTGGGTGGATTTCAAAATGACTAAAGGGTCCAAATCTACATATTATGGTAGTACCATAGTGTAGTGCTAACATATACCAATTTACTCAACGATTGTCATATTTATTTGCCTAAGTATTTACTAGCATCCCTACTAAGATACTTCCAAAGCATTGCATTATTTAACAAAATAACAAAACAAAAAACATTGTGATATCATGGTACTTCTTGTTTTTATAAAGGGCTGGCCTGGTTAAAACCAGACCATTCTCTGTTGTAACTGAGTTATGGTCTGGCAAAGCGTCATAGACAAATCATTTCCAGAGGGGCGTCACCAACGGACGTCGCGGATAGACCTAAAACCAATCAGAGCGATGAAGGAGATGACGTATGCAGAGCGGCGGAGAAACATCTCCGAGTGTTGTTCTTTGCTCGGTTTTTAACAAAAAGGAAACGTTCAAATGGCTTAAAACAGACGCGATAGCTGATTCGAACGAGTGATGTTCGACGGCGGCATCCATCTTTGTAATGTAGGCTACAAAATCTGCTTCAAAATCCCAGCGCTGTCATCATCGTGTAAAGCCCGCCCCAACGTTTCTGATTGGTGCCTCGATTTCAAAGGATTGGAAATGGGCTTGAATGAGCTCTTTGCCAGACTAACTTTCAGAGCAAATCTAAATTTGCCGGAAGTTGTCTGGGTTTTCCCAGGCTAGTGTCTCTTAGCATTTTGGTGCAGAAGATCTCAAAATGCAGTTTTAACTAACTTGCGTGAGAAAACTAAGTTGATGTATGTGGCGAGCAGGACGGTGGCGTGATTGATAATGAGTGACACCTGCGCGACGCACCGGTCTCGTATCTCTCACGGAGGAGCGGAGGCATAAGAGGAGGAGCGACGACAGTGAAGGATGAGAGAGGACCAGGCCTGGATTTATGTTGTGTTGTTTATGTTTTGTTATGTGACAGCAGTCGTCCGTGAGGGGCTGCTGTCTTTTGTTTTTGTTTTATTTTGTTATTACAATTTTGGGAATGTTCGCCGGTTCCCGCCTCCTCCTTCCCATAACAACGAACCTTGTTACAATGCTAATGCCTGTTTCTGTGGATTAGCAGCATCAATAATATGCAACATATTTCTTTTTTGCATTCGGATTTGATTTCAGACACATTTTTGGAAAGACATTTGTGAAGATAGAAGGATTGTGTACGTATGTTTTTTGGCCTTAACCCTCTGATTATCTTCATTTAGGGTCTACACTTGTTATCTTTGGGGTCTCCAGGGACCCCAGACAATAACATTGCATTTTGTAACAGTATAATAAATTTTTTTTTACAAATGTAATTTTACTCTGTTTATTAATGTTTTTACTCAACATTTGTGCAGTTTTTGGAGGATTTTTGATATTTTTTAAATTTCTAAAAATAAATAAATAAATATTTAAATAAATAGTTTTTTTTACAAAAAACAGCATTTTATGTAAAATTCACTTTATAAAGGACCCAGATTTCTAACTTTCATTTATGGGGATAACATGGATAATTGTACATGATTTAATGTAAGATTTTTGCCCTTTTTTTGGAAAATGAAGTTTTAAAATAAAAAAATTCACTTTAACCACTATATTGCTATAGAGCTCCATTATATGCTATTTGCTGTTTGATTAACCAAAATACATCTTTTCACAAGTTGGATTCAGTTGGATTGAGTTGGATTCATATATAAATATTTTAAAATCAAAATTATAAAAAAGAATTATATACTTTTGGTCAAAGTTTAGCATATTTTGTATTAAGTTTAGCATATTTTGTTTTGAAAAAAGTTCTTCAATAATGTTACTTTATGATTAGAATCAAACCTGAACAAGATGTTACAAAAAATCTTGGAGTCTTTAGATTTTATCATTTATTTCAATTATCTGTTTTTAATATAATTCTATCATTTTTAATCAACGTTTCAGTTACAAACTGTAACAGAACAAAAAATAACAGAAATGAACAGTTATATTACATATTGAGAAAAAAAAACAAAAGTGCAATGAACTGAACAGCAATAACAAATGATCAAATAAAGCAGTAAAAAAATAAAATGGTTGTAATATAAAAATTATTTTGTTAAAAAAACTGATTGGGAAATTTTTGTTTTTTGAACAAATAAGAACAACAATTGGTGGTGCACTGGAGGTGTTCACGAGTCAGTGCACTGCAGGCAGTATGCGTAGTACGTTGCATGACTTCTGCAGACACACATTCTGTGTGTGTGTGTGTGTGTATTTTCGTTGTGTCAGTGTCACCAATTTATATTTGTGGTGGTTCTGCATTTTATTTGACAAATTATAAGACTTTTTTTATAGCCTTACAAATGTATTTCTGTGTGTATGTGTATGTGTGGTTGTGTGTGTGTGTGTGTGTGTGTGTGTGGCGAGCATGATAATTTTGCATTGTGGATGTTTTTTACATTGTTGGAAGTGTGCCATTTCATTTCTGTCCATGTGATCTGCGTTGTTTCTGATTTTGATGATGAATATTATATATTTACTATGCGGGGTCTCCAGGGACCCCGAAGACAACAAGTGTGACTATTTTTTTCATGGCAACATAATAACAGATATCATTCCAATTTTCTTTTTCTTTTGTAGATCTATGAAGTGTTAAGAGCTGTAGAAAGTTTCATACCATTTGGACAAAGAGAACATTTTTTTTAATTTGACCAAAAGTCATTTGCGGGTTAAAAAGACCCCAAAGATAACCAGAGGGTTAAAAGGATGAAAATTCTGTTATCATTCAACCCTCATGTTGTTTCAAAACTGTATGTGAGTCTCAATCAGCTCTCTGGGTCGTGCATCAGTATATCGTGTTCATGAATTCGGCACTGGTAAACATTAAGGACCCTGACTCACTACACATTGGGGCACTGATGACTATTTACGGCGACATTACAACGTCCTCATTGTACAACATCAGTACATTTATAGCTGTAAACTAACTATAAATGTTAGCTAGATTATGTTCACTACCTGTCTAGCGATGTGTGTTTATGCTGGAATATAATGAAATAACGGTTTGGTTTTTCAAAACACCTATCGCGTGTCATTATATGTTGTGTGATTTATGTTTTGGTTTTCAGAATTTCCATTAAGAGAGCATGGTGAGCAGCGATACTCCCTGGTTTCACCGTGCATTGTGGGACTTTTTATGGAGCGAAGGATTCCACGCACTGCAAAGATTTAGCGATTGAGACGGGCCTTAAAATTGTCCGACTCCCTGACCAGTGCCCTGACTACTGAACTAGGGAGCTGATTGAGACGCAACCTTTGACTTTCTTTCCTCTGTGTAACATATTTTGAAGAACGTTGGGGGTCCAAACAACATTAGACCCCACTGACTTTTTTTCCTGTATGAACAAAAAAACCTTTTTCCTGTATGAACAAAAAACTTTTTTCAAAATACTGAATGACAGAATCTTCGTTTATGGGTTAAAAACAAAGCGAAAATTGAGAAAATCTTGTTTTATTGTTCGTAGACTACAAGAAACCAAGAATTCTCCATGTTTTTAGTGCACATTTCCACGAATTTTGCCACATCAATCATGTCAGATCGCTTTAAAAATATCTAAATTAAAATCAGAGTAAAGTCTGATTCAAATATGACTTTTACTGGCCTTTAGTATCACACAAAACTATTTTTCTTACACTATGACCTACTGTCAGACGCCACAGTGGAGCCACGTCATATCTGCGTAGGTTTGTGGAGAAAAATGATTGAAGCACTTAAGATCCCGGGATGTGAGCCAGGATAGCATTCCCAGCTTCCTGTCTGGATCCCGGTCCTTTGGGAGCAGATCAGGTGAATATTCCGGGATGAGGAAAGCTCTCGGAAGGCAAACACTCAAGATTTAATTAGGGAGCTGAAAGAGGATTAGACTGAGTGTGTGTGTGTGTGTGTGTGTGTGTGTGAAGGAAGGGAAGTCCCTCCACCTTCCTCCGTCTTGTTTTGTTGACTCTACGGATCCAACGGTGCCACATATGTCCAGCATATGGTACAAGACCACACAAACCTGGGTATAAGGGAAAATGCACACGCAAACACAGGCTTACCTGGACACGGTGGCATACGGTCGATCGACGTCGTATTTCGGAGCCATTCGTGGATCAGGCCCTCTGATCTGCAAAAGCACAGGAAAATCAAATTAGATTATGTCACAATCAGCTAATGTGACATTTAGATGTGTTTTTAAAGGTGAAGAGCGTAATTTATGTACACAAGCATTACCCGACAGAAATACAAATTGTAATCACAAAAAAAGCATGAATAACTATGAAAATTAAGTGCAGTATAAAAAACCAGACAACACATAAAAAACATGTTTATACCTGTACATTTTTTTTTTCTCACACACATACAGGACATGTGCACATTTAATATTTCACCATAAAGTTACAAAAAAAGATTAAATCAAAACTCTTAATCAAAACTGCAACAAAAACAGTAATATTATTAAATATAATTCCAGTTTAAAACATGTTTTCTATTGTAATGCATTTTTAAATATAATTTATTCCTGTGATGGTTAAGCTGAATTTCCAGCATCATTACTCCAGTCTTCAGTGTCACATGATCCTTTTATTTAGAAATCGTTCTAATACGCTAATTTTATACTAAATAAACATTTTTTATTGTTTAAGTTTTGAAAATCGCTGTGCTGCTTCATAATTCTGAGGAAACCATGATAAATTTTTTTCAGGATTCTTTGATGAAAAGAAAGCTTAAAAGAACCACATTTATTTGACAAATATTTTGCAACATTATAAATGTCTTTACCGTCACCTTTGATCAATTTAATGCATCCTTGCTGAATAAAAGCATTCATTTCTTGAAAAAAAAAAAAAAATGACTGACCCGAAAATTTTGAACAGAATATTGTTTACATGCAGAGTGAAATCAGTGTAGAAATCAAGATAAAGTTCAAGATTTTCCATCCCGATGAACTTAACCAGATTTTATGTATGACCAGTTGCAATGTCACAGAAGTGTACACTACAATCTGGATCTTTTTGTCACTTCAAACTCAAACGTAGGCCTAAAATCATCAAAAGGCGATAAGCTTGAGAGTTGTAGTGTGCATTGAGGCTGGAACATACATACATTCACATCATAACTATATGACAACTATAAATCAGGAAGAGGGAGAGAGAGAAAAAAGGAGTTAACAAGAGAGAGAAATGATGCAGCTCAACTGATTGGAGAAAATAGGTCAGTGTCTTCATAACCCCCAAACAATATATATATATATTATTTTTTTGAATATGCAGGATTCATGAATTATATAACTACCTTGTGTAATGCTATAATTACCATCAGCATGAGCAGTTAACCTGATAAGTTAGCGCAACCCTTAAAGTGCAGAGAGAGAAAAAAACCCGAATAGGAAGTGACAAACGTGTTACTTAATTATCAATAAATGTTTTTGTCTCTGTAAACAAGAACATTGGATGCATTATTTTCCCTTTGACGTCTATTATGGTTTTGTTATGATTACAATGAACAACTAAAACTTATTTCTCCTTATTCCAAAACTTTGCAAGCTTGTATAAGATGAATAAGTGGAGTACGCAGGGTTAAACAGTAGTCTCATATGACCGCAGTGGGATTGTGGGAGTTCTGCGTGTGGCAGCTCCTGACAGATGAAGGTTACAGGCATTATGTAAAGAAGGGTAGCTCATTTCTGGGGACTATGTGAGGAAAACGGTGGCATTTGTCTCAATGAGGCGGTTATAAGCGCATGTAATGGCGGCCCTCGGCTCTGCCCTGCATGCTAAGTGTGATCTTTAAACACAAAGGTGTCTCGCAGGGATCGAATGTCACCGAGAGTGAGAGAGACAGAGAAATGACGACGCGCACACGCCGTAAAGGTCAAATTTAGAGAAGCGAGAGATGATTGTGGGAATGATAGACTGCTGCGCATGCCAAATGATCAGAACGATATACAATTCCCTGCTTTCCTCTGTTCCTCTCATTCTTTCATCCGTCTATTCTGGCCATACAGGTGATCAGTCTTTCCCATTGTCAGAATTTATACTACCACTCTCCAGCTTCTCTTTCACAGATAAGATCCCACTTTTGGGAGCAATGACCCAGTGTTGTAACACACACACACATCTAAAAGTAACTTTTTACCACACCTGCCAATGGCCGGTAACTTATATAATAAACTCATAAATACTTTTTTCCGGCTATGTAGCTTATGACACCAACATTTTAGATACCAGTGAAAATTCACTTTTCAGATAAAGAAACTTAATCAAGTAATCAAATGTAAAACAACACTGCTGCATAGTCTTCAGTGTGCAAATTAAACAGAGATTAATCCTTATTAAAGTTTCTCAAGCCAGTAAAGTTACTAAACATTAAATCGGGCTTAAGCCGATTCGGCTTATTGCGATTATTTTTTATGCGCAGCTCGTCGGCTGTAGTCCAGAGCGGCTGTATAGATAAATTAACTAAATTAATAACTGTTTTTACAACAGAAATGAACCATCACTAAACTTACTTAAGCTGGACTATGACGCTATTTTTCTTCTAAATCTGCTGTACATCCAAGACAAAGTTCGTTTTCCTGTTATCACTGTAACGCTGCTTTGAAACGATCTGTATTGTAAAAAGCGCTATATAAATAAAGGTGACTTGACTATTCGCAAATGTTTTATGCGCTATTACAATTTTGCGCACAAGTTAAATTCGCAACTTTGGATGGAAACATAGCTATTGTCTTCCATAGTATTGTCTTTCAATGTTGTTTACCGTTAAACTCATTCAGGTTAGGAACGACTTGAGGGTGAGGAAATGAAAATTGTCATTTTTGGGTGAACTATCCCTGGATGTCAGTGCGATAAAACACTACCTAGTTGCTTCCATAGCGCCGGTTATTACAAAACACGAGAGACTCCAGCGACTTTAGATCTTCCACATTACCCACGTGTTTCTCTTCACTGCCCACAGATGTTATCTTGGGCTCAGGCGATTGATCTTTACTGGGTAATTAGCATTTTAGGCAGAAAGGACAAGACGTGGGCCTGCTGCCAGACGCTTGACTCCAATTGAGAGAGAATTTGAAACTTTGCCACGGCAGGCTTGGTGGTCTGGGCGAGTTTTACCCTGTGGGGTCAAAAAGGATCAACAAAACCTGCTCAACCCTGCTAAACCTCACCAAAGGGAGGGTGGGCATTGGGACTCCATGGCAACCGAGCTGCCAGAAACCAGTTGAGTCTTTGCGGTGCGGTTATCAGATCAAAACGGCTGTGTGGGGACGGATGAAGGGCTCGTGTGCCGCTGTGCATGTTGAGAAATGTGCATGCTACGCCGGCGGACTGGACTGAGACGGCAAATACTTGCCACAACAAACGTGCAAACATTTGCAAATAGGCAAACAGCACTCATGCGTTCAGATGCAGGGAGATCAGATGGAGGAGGTATTTGAGGAGTTTGTTTAAACACAAAGACGCACATGTTGAGCGTGAACAGCAAGGTCACCTGGACTCACTGGGACTTATTCAGTCACACCTTTTTTATACCTCGAGAACAAAACAAAACAGACATAAGCAAAGACGTTCAGCAATAAACATTTAAGCTCTATGTAAGAATTCAATATATAATATGTAAAAGGCCCAAAAAAACTATTTGGTTAATTTTAAGATTTTTTTATGTTTTTGAAAGAAGTTTCTTAGCCTGCCAAAGCTGTATTTATTTGATCAAAAATAGAGTAAAACAGTAATATTGTGAAATATTATTCGTTTTCTATTTTAAAGGTATAGCGGAGGATCTTTCCGAATTTTAGAGAAGACCCCGCTCTCTCCAATTTTTTAAAAAATGCACATACGCAACACTCTATTTGCTCCCGAGAGGGAACGCCTATTAAACGTGTGCACGAGAGAGCATGCACGAGCCTAGTTCACCTCGTGCACGTCGTTTCCACTATGTCAGTCCAAATAGTATGCCAAACTTTACCCGTCGAGTAGAAACTTTGCGACTGACGCGAACTTGTGCATTTAGCGCACGCCAGCGTGTGAAATTTTCTCCCCAAAACACTCTGGTCTTGTTTCTTTCTTCAGAGACCTTTCTCTTCTTGTCATACAATTCGTAGACACTTTTTCTCTTGCGACCCTCAGACATTTTGAAAAAACCCGGTGAGAACGGCGAGCTTCAATGAATGGCTGAAACCGTAGCTCACCACACATATACACCTGAAAGTGCGCATGCGCAGAAAGCGAAAACTACCTAGGGAAGAGCACGCACGACGGCCTAACGTAAACATATCACCAGAATGATTGACAACTAGGAGGACCAATAGTCTTGATGATCCACCCGGAAAAAGAAAATCCTCCGCTATACCTTTAATATAGCAAATGAATTGCGATTAAGAGTTTATAGGATTATGAGTTTATATGGAATGAACTGAAAATGCTCCGCGCCAGTGGACGTTTTCTCCATTATGAATACCTGTGCGGCCATGCGCACTTTACCTTTTTTTTTTTTTTTTTTTTTCACCAATTCGGGGGTGGCAATTGCTTGAATGCTGGGTTCATTATTATTATTCATATATATAAAAAAAAAACACAACAACTAGAAAAACACAACTAATTCTTTGCAGGTTCCCTATTAGCATTGAGTTTAAATCCAAAATATTGCCAAATACGCGCTTTTACATTTCGCTTTGGAACCAAATCTTCCGCCATTGTCTTGTCAGTCAGCTCCTCACTCTCGTGACGAATGAAATCTGACTCCTGCTGCAACACTCGTTCGGCTCGCACTGCATTGAGCAGACAAGTTCAGTTTTTAATTGTAGTGTCTGTTCTCTAACTGAACTAAATAATTTTTATTACAATAAAACAATCTGAACGACGGTGGGGGCGGTGCCACAGTGGGCAAGTGATGTAACCAGTGTAACACAGACTATCGCAGCAAGGCTAATATATATATATTGGACATACACGCACTACACGCAAACTTATAGCGGGTGCCAATACCAATTTAAAGTCCTCAGTAACTTTTGTTCTTTATCATTACTTTATCATTACTTTTTGGTAATTAGATTCCATTGATCTGGGCGCAGAGTCAAACTCCATTCCAGAGGGAATTGGCAGTCTGGACTCAAGTGAAGTTTTGTGG